CTCTGAAATATCAGTGAAGGAGTTTACTTCTCTCAGAAGTTAAAGTGCCAATAGTACACATACTTCACACGTGCTGGGTAAAATCAATAGACTAAATTAAACTCAGATTTTCAATTCTTCCTTTCAGACAAATATTTCATGTTTTGGACCTGATGAAAGTGGATATGGCAAACTACACAATTAAAAGCCTTAGACCATACCTCTGGCATAATTTGGTGGACTATGAAAGAACAAAATTCCAGGAAATTCTTGAAGAAACACCAAGTATGTATTGTGCTATATTTAATGTAAACTTTTATCTAAAAAGAGGACCATTTAATGACATGCTGTGAAAATCTATAAGTTGCAGTTAACTTAGAGGAAAACTTCAATTTCTTGTCTCTAACTAATGCAAAAATTTTTTGATGAGCAAGCTACCACGGGGTGATTGCTTAACTTGCTATAAAGTTTATTTATCTGTAGTCTGGGCCACTTTCAGACAAACTTATATTTGCCCGTTTGGTTGGTAAACAAACAGTGACTCTTGCTGTCTGGATGCAGAAGCCCTACGTAAGGATGAGACTTTTCTCTCTTTCATGTGTAGCAATTCTGTTGTTAGTATGAAGTAAGCATGTAAAACCAGTTGGTGTGTCTGAAAATGGGAAGGGGTAAGATCAAGTTTTTTAAGAAACAAAAGGCAGGCTCTGAATAAAACTTCTTGGACGATGCAAAGTCAATGTGATCCACTATTGCAGGTTTTGTGTAATATGGTTAAATAGTGTCCAGAAATGCATCTTCCAAGAAGAATAAGTAAGCTTGCTAAAATCTGGAGCAGAGGCTTCTAAAATGCACTGAACCACTGACAGGGCCTGCAGTGTTTGTCTATGCAGCCTGAAGAAAAACTCTGTTGATAGCAAATTAAATGCTTTAAATTTAGAGTTCTGTCTCCCTTCACCTCTGCTTTTCTGTCCTATGCTCCAACTGGTAAGTGGCCTCTGAAAAACAGTGCTTTGGGAACTCAAACTTTGACACTTTTTCTACCTAAAAATCTTGTTTGAAATCTAATAATTTATCGCTGGGTTTCTAAAACTAGCTAGAGTATTCAAGTCACCAGTGGAAGATGATCAGTGGGAAAAAAGGTGATGGAGGGAATTGACTCAACTGTCCACTGTATTTGAGTCTTCAGAAATTCAGTTCTCTTATGTGTACAACTCTCTTCTTTTCTCAAGGTAGTGCTTATTTTGATGAAGGCATGCAGTAAATCTGTGCTATTTGCAATGCTTAGGTGCCCTGAATCTCACAACAGAATGGATAAAGGAATCTATAGAAGATGAATTGTCATCTATTTCTGATGAGTCTTCATCATCCCCCGGTGCTGACAGTTGTTCAAAACCAAATATTAGTCCTACACTGGTGCTAAACAATGGCTACTTGAAACTGTTACAATGGGATTATTGCAAAACAATTCCAGAGGTAAGTATATTTTGGTGCCTACAGATTTCCGGCTATACGAAAAAATTGGTGTAAATAATAATCCTGCTATTGAATGCCAATAAGTGAATGTTCTCTTGAACTCCTTAAATTTCTGCACAGTAGGTTTGAAATTTGGAGATTGTATGCTAGTTCAGTTTTGAAATTTGAGATGGGCAAGTCAACAACTAGAAAAGAACAAGGTAAAGGTTGTTTTCCCTCTCTTCAATCATAGCTCACCAGCTCCACCCTAAGAGCAGTCTTGGCTGTGGTCAAAGGCTGGGCTTTTTAGTCATGGTACTTGGCTTTCTCTGTCTTTAAAAAAACTGATTGTAGCATCCTGTTTTCCTAACAGCAGTAGGAATTGGTGGGTTCGCTCTTTAGAATAAGTAAAAACTTGAAGCCCTCTCAAGCAGACGTTTTTCCTTTCTCAATACATGTAAGCTATTGTTTCAAGAACCAGTGTTCAGTTTTTCCTCCAACTCCTGATTACTGACCTCTGCAACTTTCCATAAAGCCCGTGTGAAATTTTCCATCAGTCAGGACTAAAATTTGCCTTTGCAGGAAGGGCCTTAGCTACACTTAGGATGGGCTGGCAGAGAATTTACTAAATACAGGGGGATGCTCTTGATGCTCTCAGTTTGTGGATAGAAGGGAAACCACCTTATTCTTACCTTTCTGTGAAGAATTTTGAATAGGAGATGCACAGAGATGTCCTCTGGTGGATCTAATTTGCTAGACTAAGAAATTGCTACCAACTACAGTTGAATGTTAATGCCCTTGTGCTGTTCAGTGGAGGGATTTGGTTAGGATTAACTCTTTATAACCTAAAATTAGTCACTCCAGCCACATCTTGCTGTGTGAATTACTTACATTCTTGGTATGGCTTTTTGCCTGTAGCAGGTTATGTATCACTTGCAGAACCTGCTCTGGTAGTTGTCAAGCACAGTTGTTCATCACTGTCTGTCACTTACAAATCCTGGCATTTTTCAAAGGACAGCCAAACCCAGAAGACTATTCTGTCTGTAACCTTGGTCACTGCAATGTCCTCTGGATCCTCTGAGCGTTCCACATCGTGGGCTGAATTGCTGGTTGCAGACTTACCAGCAGTGATGAGGAACGAGATGCAGTGACCTCAGTTTCCCCTGCACTAAAGGCATTACCTTTCTTCCCACTAGAGGCTTACTTCTGGTTGGTTACTTGTGTATAATGCCACTTAGTGCTATATTACATATTCAGGATATCTCACCTGTTGTCTCTTCTGGCTTTGCGTATTTGTGATTAAAAATAATAATGCTTCATGACTACATCCTACATCTGTCCTTTTCCTGTCTCTCTCCCTCATTATTCCTAAATGAGTATTATTGTTTCAATTCTAGACTCTAATAACAGATGAAGTTCGTCTTCAAGAACTGAGAGAAAAGCTCAATCAATTAAAAATCATAGCTTGTGTTTCTCTCATAACAAACAATATGGTGGGTGCAGCAATTGTAGATGTGCCTGATTTTGCTGACCAACTGAAAAGGATCTCTGTTCCTCTTCTTGAAGGCATGAACAAGAAGTAAGGCCTTATTTTTATCACTCTTATTTTTTAACAGGAAATAGTTGGAAACAATTCTAGTGTCATAGCTTGTTATTAATAGGAAGATACCCAATTTTAATAATCTATGTATTCCCTTTATGTTATATGTCCACTATATATGTTAGACACATGTTCTCGAAGTTAGACTTTAATAATCTTGATGTTGGTGTACAGAATTTGGAGCCTAGTAACAAAGTTCATTCACATTCCTAATACTGGAGAGGTTGTGGCAATACATTCACTAAATTGTCTTGCCAATTGCTTCAAACTTGTAGATAGTTCAAGTTATTTGTTTGCCTATTTCTTGCACTACAAGCAAGTCTGATGTTATAGTTTTCCACTCTGCTTTTTCTCAAGAAGTGCTACGCAGTGGCCCAGAAGAACACCCAGGCGTAAGGGCAAAGTGAACTGGTGCCCCTGCTGCATTTTTGGTATTGATTTCCCCCCACCATTTGAATCATAATTTGGTCCTTATTTTATCTTCCACATGGAGATTTTCCTGTGGATGTATCTGTAGATGTACATAAATCTGCAACAATAAAAGATAACTCTTCAAAATTCTCTCATTGCAGAGAGAAAGTTGAAAATAAAATGGAAAGGAGGCAGTTAAGGTCACCTTACAAGCTATGCCTCAGAAACTGCAGAAGTTAATGCTTTTCTGTTTCTTCCAGATCTTTTGATTTGAAGGAGGCTCTGAATGCTATTGGTGTCCAGATTTGCAGCAAAGTGAACAAGTCTCTAACTGAAAGAGGTCTTCCCATTCTTAGCGAAGAAATGCAGAGTAATTTAATGGGTCAAATTGCTCATATTGTTGAGAAGAATAATCCTGTCTGTTCCTTGATTGGTTAGTAAGATACTACATAACTGTGTATTAACTTACTCCCAGCAAGCTTAATCAGCTGTCTAGCTATCTTCTAGAAGCACTTTCTTACTGCAGTAAAATACTGGCTCAATTAAAACCAAGGAAATGTTGTTCACCTACAGATGCTGTTGTTGGTGTGCTGCAGAGCGTGGTTAGTCACAGCTAGAAATAATTCTAAAGGTGCTTATACAGACAAGCCTAGACAGCCTGGTATTTTGGAGAAGAATTTAGGAAAATGAGGGCTATTCAGTATCCTTTCTGTCCATTCTAGGTTTACCTAATATGAAATAGGTGCAAAAGAAAAAAAAACCCACTAGGTTTAATGTAACTTGTTGCAGTAGGTTTATGCTGTGTCCACCTTGGAGTAGCCAACTTTAGGAAGCTTTCATGCCAGTGCAGTCTTGGGAAAGAGTTACTGCTTCCATTGTTGGATTTTTTGCTGTGCTGATGTGCTTACAACGTGACTATGGCTTCATCTTAGGTTTATATTTGTTCTGAACATACTTCATATTCCATTTCAGACAAACGAATCCAGCTCTTCCTGAGAAGCTTGCTTGCTCCTCCGAGCTTCCAGAAGTGTATGCCTACTATGCCGGGAGGCCTTTCTGTAATTCAGACAGAGATGGAGTTTGTTGGATCTCAGTATGCAAGCATTGTAAACTTCAATAAAAAAGTGTATGGACCATTCTATGCAAACATACTTAGAAAACTACTTTTTCCTGAGGCACCAATGGAGAAATCAGAAGCAGAAACAGCTGGCAATTAAAAAATATACTTTTTTTTATTTTCCAAGACCATGGGGAAGGCAGATCTCTAAGAAAAGCCTACACCAGTGACTGTTGATCATAAAAGGTCTTGTAAAATATATACAGATAGTTTCTGAGATTCACTGTAAAAAAAATTAATTTCAAGGTCATATATATATTTTAATAGAAAAAAAGTTGTTTAATGGATTGCCACTTACAATAACCAGCAAATTATTAATTTTCATGGCAAACATTTATTAAGATTTGCAGGGGGAAAGAGCTGGCCAAGTATTTACTGTTTTGCCCCCAATAAAACAATGTTATTTTTCAACTCAAATATATTTACATATAGCAATGCATATTATGAAATGACAAAACAAGTGTAGATAAAATGTATCGTGCTTACATTGTATTTTTGTAGAGTAACATCAAAGACAACAATTATGTTTCTGAAAATACTTTGAAGAAGAAAGTATAGCATAACTGCTTCACCCAAACCCAGGTTCATACTAGGCCAAGTTTAGGTACTCCTGCAGTTACTGGAACCAGAACTTTGCCTCTGTTACATTAAGGAATGCCAGTGTTATAAGCTGTTTGCAGTATAGCAGTTACAGAAGCAGCATTCACCACTTCAAGTAGAAATCATTGAGAACTTCTTACCTGTAAACACCTAAGAAACATGATGTTGGGGGGAGGTGGTGGAGTAAATTTCTGTATATAATGTGTATAAGCATTTTGTTTATTCAGTGGAGGTCATACAGATCTTTAATATGTGTATGTACTGATCTTTGATCTTAATGTATGGTGGGTATTAAGTATTTTCAAGTGAGGTCTTTCTGACCTTTATTCCCAGAAGCACTTAAGGCTGACTTTACAATGTACCACAGAGCAATTCCCCCTTTTATGCCCTCATCCAACAGAATATTAGTCTTTCACAACAGCTCCTTAGGTCTGAAAGCAAGAACCCAGATAAATAGTCATTCTTGAAAATAAGATTAGATTCACTTTCATGGAGTCTCTGAGAAATGCTGCAGTTTTCTTCAAATTCCTTTGGAATAGGCCCCAATACTTAGTTCCCATTTAAGGCATCGGGAATCTTGCATACAGAAAATTAATAGGCTTGAAACTGAGAAATGTAGAAGTGAACTTCTCTAAGTTTACACAGGCTTTATTTTGCATGTTTCAGATTACTGGGATTAGACACTGCTGGAATACATATTATAGACATGTTCATGTCTATGAAATTGAATAATTTACTTGAAAATGATATTTTAATATATTACCATATTATAGTCCTTTTAAGATGTCATATATAAAAAACCTCAGTGTGGTACAAGTTATAGCTTGTTTTTAATATTTTATATTATGATCTATTTTTTATGAAGTGAAAAAAATAACCCGTAAAACCTTAATGTGTCACACAAATTGTATGTGTACATTACTATGTCTATCATAGAGGTCTAAAAAAACTGGGCATTATTAGCACTGTGGTTTTGTAGTCCGTTTTTACAGGATTCTATACCCTTTATAGTAAGGGAAATTAATTCTAGTCAGTTGTTTCTCAGTGTCCAAGGACTTTGGTCACATGTACATGATACCGAAACTTTTTTCAAAATGCCTTTTTAGAAAAAATTTGCTAGTGCACTTCTGTTCTATCCCTTGTGAAAAAATTGCACAAAATAAAGATGAATACATATTTTAAAGGGAACTGTCTCCTGGAAAACCTGAGAGAAAGGAACTCTTAGCATATAATAATTGTGCCACTAGTTAAGCCAGGCTTGCTCACGTGAATGTGGAATTTTGATATGCAGTTCACAATCACCAAGAGAAGAATGCATTTCAAAAGGAGTTAGGGGGAATTAAATCTTAGCAATTTGCTACGTCTTTAGAAATACCTAAATGATTTTGAGCATTAGTCAAAAGAGAATTTTTTAACATTTGAAGATGATTGCTAACATGATTATGAACTTTTTATCATAATACTTCATATACGTTCTATTGTACAAATTATTATCAAACTATAGATCTGTAAGGAACTGGGAAAACTGTCATACTAGTTTTT